AAGCAGGACTTGTGGTCTCTGCCAGTTGTCTCTGCAGCAGGAAGAACCCCAGACGGACATGCGGGATGGAGGTGGGAGGCTGCGGGCCCAGGGAGGATGCGACCGACGAACACATGTTCTCTGCCCCCTGACGCTACCTTTCTGTCCCTGCCTTCAGCTTTGACCTGGAAAATGGGTTTGCGAGCAGCCGGGGCCCCCTGGACCCTCAGTCTGGCCGCGTGCTCCAGCCCCCTGGCCAGCACGGCCTGCGGCGCGAGTCCTTCCTGTACCGCTCCGAGAGCGACCATGAGCCTTCACCCAAGGCCGTGTCCCGGAACTCCTCGGTGGCCAGCGACGTGTGAGGCCCCTTCCTCCTTTTAGCAAGTTCTTCCAAGGAACCCTTTAAGTGAGGTTTTGATGTTGAAGCAGGCATTTCCCAGAGCATTACGGTTAATGTCTAGCATATAACAAATACCAATAGTTTGTTGGGGACAGAATAGCACACTAATCTGTGAACAGTAAGGCCAATTAGCAACTGAACAAATACTTGTATTTGAGCTCCCTAGTAGCTGTGATGAAAAGGGAACAATTACTTCTGTCCTGACTCTAAGACCCCTTACTGTCCTTGGGGCTCAGTTTCCCCACTTTAGAAGTGGATAACGTGGAGGACTGGTTGGGGAGGTTGTAGTTTTCTCTGGGAAGCCAGAACCAGAGGGCCCAAGGCAGGAATCATGAGGGGAGGGCTTTGTGAAGCCAGCAGATGTCCTCAGTGGTGGCCTCCCTGCAGGCATGGAGAAGACATGATTGTCACGCCCTTTGCTCAGGTGGGTGTCCTCCGCCCACGCCCCTCTGCCGGGGAACATGCAGGGGGAGCTGGGCCTCCGCTTACAGCTGAACACTGCCTTCGCCACAGGTCCTGGCCAGTCTCAGGACAGTTCGAAGCAATGTGGCCGCCCTTGCCCATGGCCCAGGCAGGTACTGCGGAAGAGGCCTGGAGGCATGGGGTCTTTTGGGGGTGGAGGTAATGGGGGACTGGGAGGGTTGGGCAGGTTTGGAAGGACCTGGCAAGGTGAACCCTCTATGACTTCCCTGTCTGCAGGCAGCCGCA